GTTAAACAAGTACTTCAAATTAGGTCTGTGCAAAATTTGGTAAATACCGAATTATCATACCGAAACCGAACATTTGGTATTCGATATTCTGGTATTCGGTATGATATTTGGTTTATATTTTAAAAATATTGGTATTAGGTATGGTATTTTAAAATGAAATATCGAAATATCGATAGCGTACCCAAATAAATATTATATTACGCAATACATATATTATTAATTATAACATAAATATAAAAATCTAAATTTTACTTTACTTTACTCTCTAAGTTCATCAGTTAACTCTAAGCAAGTAACAAGACATTTCTAGTGATCAAATTTATTCCTTTATGTACAGTTTTCTCTCTATGGGTTGATATTTGCTAGTTTTGAACAAAATTTTAGTCAACAAACACTTTTAGTTTTGTACTTTTGAGTACTTTAATTAAAAATATTACAGTCTATGACTTTATGCGCTAGTTAGTATTCAAACCGAATAAACCGAAGTTACCGAACCGAATAAACTGAAACCGAAAAGAGAAAAACCGAACCATACCGAATTTAATTAGGTATGGTATTGGTATAGCATTTTAAGAAACCGAATACTGAACCGAAATATCAAATACCGTACCGTACCGATCGACGAACACCCCTACTTCAAATGCTAGTGCCATAATGAACAGCAGATGTCCTCTTCAATAGCAACGTAAACATAAGAGGGCCCTCTCTTATGAAAACCCTTACGTTAAAGGGTTGGTTTCGGATGAACTTATGTCCGAAATCCAACGCCTTCAGGGGAAATTGCACCCCAAGCCTTGCATGATCAGACGCAAACAGTAAAATTTGCGCAAACACTTAAACGAAAAAAGATGCAAAGATCAAACTTGCACAAATGTTTAAACAAAAATACGCAGAAAGGTATAGGCGGCTAAAATCGTGGCCATAATTACCTCGATAATCGGCAAAAAGTGATGCTAAATCGTGGGGTGACGCGTGTTCGGGGCATTAAATGCGGAGAGACGTGTGTCTAATCAACCGTCAGAAACTTTTCAGAGGGGGTCAAAGAATTTCCCGCCAAAAAGGGTGTTTCTACCAACTTCTCGGTGACACAAAGTTATGCCATCGAAAAACCGGAAATCAGGGGGACTATCTGTATAGAGTAAAATAAGTTTATATTAAATGATCGCATAAGAAAGTGACACATGGAGCCGAAGACAGAAGGTAGTTGAATCCGGAGGCAACGACCCCGTCTGTTACCGGAGAGAATATTTCTCATAAATGCTTGCCACCCGGTAGCATTTAATGAGGAATATTCTACAGCATTAGTACACGGCGCGTTACAAGGAATATGGCATTCACTGCCTGACGTTACACATTCTTCAATGACCCTCATAATTGTCATTAAAGAGGGGCTTGATCCTAGGACCTTGTTCCCTAGGTGCAGCTACAAATAGTGAGCTCTATCATCATTGTGAAGGAGACGAATTCTGTGACAAGCATACAATATATTCTATCATAAGCTCAATAACATTTTACTTTCTTGCTTATTTATACTGTTCTTACTGCCTGCGGAAGCTCTGTGCCCGGGACCAAGGTATCTGCTGTCTCATTTCAATTTCAAGGCTAAGTCTTACATTTTTGTCTAATTCATCTATTATTTTAGGATCAAATTAATTCACTTGTTTATAACCCACGTATAAATTCAACTGTACCGTTTTTCGGATAAATAATAACATAGGTTGAATACTGTTTCAAACCAAGGGCATTGAACTCTTTCATAATTATACAAGGTAAACTACATAAATGAGGAATTGAAAAGCTAGGAAAAGCAAAATTATATTGCTTAATTAGGTAAACAAGGAAGATCCAAATGAAGAAGAAATTGGCACCGTCATATACTTGTTTCTCAAAATCTTACTTTTTTATTTTTTTTCCTGCTGAGGGATACATTCAGTAATTCGTCATTGAATAATAGCTTGCAAGTGTTCCTTTTTCGTAATTATTAAACAGAAGATAACCGTTTTGTAAATCACGAGGAGAAAAGGGTCTCATTTGTACAGTTCAATTAGACCTTATTCCCTGTTAATTATACAAAAGAGAAGAATCTCACGATGTTCTGTTGATGAGAAAAATAGGAGAAAGAAAAAAGAAAATTACAAAAGGCTTGCCTAGTATTTAAAGAAGAGAAATTACCTACCTTACCGTGGGGAAAATAAACAAACCGACGTCTCCCTAAGCAAAGCCGTTAAACAAACTAATTTGGCGCGAAATAGCCATTAACTCATTCTCAAGAAGCTTTCCTCCTCTTCTCTTCTTTGTTTAACTGCAATCGAAACCCACCCTGAAAATAAAAAATAAAAAAAATATAGCTGGGATTTTCTGGAACTGTTCGATAATGAATGAGATTAATAATGACAACTCCCTAAGAAGACTTGAACCAGATTGGTACTCTCCAACTCGTCTTCTCAGCAATACAGTGGACTATGACTTCCCTGTAATTTCCCAGTTCTCTTTTCTGTAAATTGTTTTTGCCTATTGCCTTTGTTAATTACTACTACTACTAATCTATAATTTGATGAATGGATATATGTTGTTTGTTGATGAAGGGAGATAGATTTATTCCCAACAGAAGCCTAATGGATCTTGATCAAGCACACACTTTACTCACCAACAGAACCAACAATATTCTTGGAAAACCCAAGTTCAATGTTAGTTTAATTCTTCTCGAATATCTTCTATTTGTAACCCCACATTTATTTAGTTGATTGCTTGTTTAGTATGATCCTTCCTTTTTAATATAGGATGAATATAGAAGGAAGATGGAGGAAAATCTAAAGTTGGATGTGGAAGGAAGACCATTCAGAATGCTGGTTTTTAGAGGGAGTCCCAAATCCAGTAGACAATCTACCCGTCTTATTGATGAAATGCGCCGTAGTGATGAAGAAATTCCCCTCCAAACTCATGACCATAGGCGGCATCACAAGTTTCGCTTGGTAAAATTTCATGTTACCTTTTCAAAATATTTGCTAGTTTCAGTGCAATAGTGGAGCCACAAATTTTGCAAAGGGTGTTCAAAATATATATATATATATATATGAAAAGTAATTTTTGTGACCTATATACATAGTATAATTTTCCAATTAAGAATGTTCAACTGAACACCTTTCACTCTATGTGGCTACGCCACTGTTTCAGTGTACTGTTTTAGACACAAGGGATGCACGTTTAACGTATTGGGAGATTATTTTGCAGAAAGAAACTCGAATTTTAGATGCTCCTCACTTGTCAGATGACTATTACTCAAATGTCATGGATTGGGGAAAATCCAACTTACTTGCCGTTGTTCTAGGAAGAAAGCTATACATCTTGAATGATGAAGTGAAAAAAGCACAGATACTGATGGAAGTGAAGCGCGAACATGATTATCCGACTAGTGTAGCATGGTCTGACGATGCAAAAATAGTAGCAGTTGGGTGTATATCCTCCAAACTGCAGCTCTGGGATGCTGAGACTTCCAAACTTGTAAGAACTAGTTAATGTTGTTCACATTGTAGTAGAAAATATGTTCTTGTTTCGATTAAGTAATCGACTCCTTTGATCACATTATTAGGTGAGAGATCTGCAAGGCCATAAGAGTAGAGTGGGTTGTGTTGCATGGAATGGTCATATTTTAACCTCAGGGAGTAAAGACAAAGCTATTATTAATCATGATGGTAACTAAGTCTATAGCTGCAGAATTTTCTTTTATACTGATTTAGTTAATAAATCTCTCTTATAAAACAGGAGCTAATCTTACTTGCGCGTCTAATTGGCAGTGAGAGCGAGAAATAGTGTGGTCTCTCTAACGAGAGTACATAGAGGGGAAGTGTGTGGCGTGAAATGGTCTAGCACGGGGAATGTACTTGCTAGTGGTGGCAATGACAATCTTGTGTACATATGGGATTTTTGCAAGATGAGCTCAAGACACCATATGCACAAGTTCAATGAACATAATGCTGCAGTAAAGGCCATAGCTTGGTGTCCATATAAGAGTGATGTATTAGCCTCTGGAGGGGGAATAAATGATGGATGTCTTAAGATCTGGAACACTAAGAAAGGGACATGCATCAGTACCACTGAAACTGGATCTCAGGCAAGTTTGAACATCAACTTTGCCATCTTATAGCATTATATGCATATAAGGTACTAGACTGAATATCTTTTCTGATATTTTGCCAAAAAATATATTCTGCTGTAGTTTCGTCTTCTAAACATGTCCAGCCACGGTGGCAATGATATTTCAGTTGATTCAGTATAGATGTGTCACAAATTTCCATCATTAGGTTGATTAATACAAAGTTTCCTCATATACATGGTCTTACTGTGAATGAAATTGGCAGATTTGTGGGATTCAATGGAACAGGCATCACAAAGAGATATTAAGTGGCCATGGATTTGGAACGACTGAACGTGGTTGTAAGTTGTGCTTATGGAGTTATCCTTCCATGGCTAGAATAGGAGAGCCATTGCATCATGCTAATTCATCCAGAGTTCTGCATCTCACCCAGGTGAGACTTTACACATCAAACAAAATAGGAATAATAGTTTTTTTTTTTTTTTCAGAATTTGAGACAGTAACATTCCTTCCCTTTCATGCAGAGCCCTGATGGTTTGACTGTGGTATCGGGTGGAGCAGATGAGACTATTAGGTTCTGGGAGATATTTGGCCCCCCGCAGGATGACAGTGGAAACAATACAGATTTGGATAATCTCTTGTCTCTAAAGGCATCCGCAGTGAGATAATCAGCTGCTTAAACTTTGAGATGAAAAATGTTGTGAGAAATAGAACTCTTTAATGCTAAATAATGTTTGTCATGTCTTCTACCATCCCTCTGGGTCAATTCTTAGCATGTACGGATAGATTTTTAATCCCATGGTCAAAAAGAGCTAAACTACATCTACTTGAATTCCAGAAATGACAGGCACTAGCCATGAGAAACATATTGTTGAGAATGTTCTGCTCAAACAAAAATTGGATCATTTTTTTATATTAGAGAAGATTGTCTACAAATGCAAAAAGTTCTAATGTATAAAATTCAAGGTACAGTTTATCATCAGGCCCTCCACATGGACTTGCACCATTTCTCTTAATACCCCCGGAAAGGCTAAAATGATTATGCAACAAATTTTGGTGAACCAGAGACCTCAGGGACTGTTGAGTCCTATCTTTAATGTTTTCCAAGGCTGTCCAGATCAGACTTAACCATGTAAGTTAAGTACCATATGCAAACCATTATTCTTCCAAACAAAATGTGGTTAAGATAATAATTGAAGAATCAGTAGAACTCTTATGTGCTACACAATACAGAGATCTCCTTCAGATGCACAAGTTTGAACCAATCCATCTGATTGTGATTGGCCTAAGATTCTCTTCTTAACAAATTCAGATTCCTTAGTTCTTCCTTCAGTTTCAAGAACAAGTCCTAACTCTTCTAAGCATTTTAAGGGTTGTTGGATTCCTTTCTCAAGCAACTCATAGTAAATCTGAAATGCTTCTGAAGCTCTACGCGCTTTGCAGAGAGCAGACAAAACAGTACTGCATGTATCTACATTCAGAATATGATCCTTGCTTAAGCTGAACAACAATAGGTCACGTGCCTCCAATAACTTTCTACACTGGCAAAGCGAAACAACCAAGCCTTCCATATTTACCATGTATCCATTTTCGTAAAGACACCTAACAATCTCAAAACCTCTCTCCCTTAATCCTGTTTGGAAGAGTATCCTCACAGTATCAGTTGAAAGGCTAATGCTTTGTCTAACTTTGTAATCTAACATTAGTTTCACCAAGGAAGCACATTCACTTGCACAATTCTTCTTGATGAGTTCCGTAAGGATTTGATGGAAAGTTGAAGATCTCGGAAGATGGGAGCTTTTCAACATCTTCTCTAGAGTATCGTAAGCAACTTTAGGATCATTCTTTTGCAGCAGACCTTTAATTAGAGACTCATAAATTTCAATATCAGGTACATAATCTTTCCTCAACATCAAAACTAAGAGTTCACGTGCATCATTAAATGTGCCTTCTCTACAGTGCCCCATAATCAATATTCGATAAGCCAAAGGATCCTGAGTTCCTCTTCTCATTAGCTGCCTGAACACTTTCTCGGCGTGCTTTGTCTTTCCAATCTTACACAAATGCTCAAACATAGGGTTGTATGCAGCAACAAGTGGTTTACAGCCATCATCACAGAGCAAAACCTCGGTCTTCAGTAGTTCATCAAATATTTTTTCTGCCCTATCAACGTACCCCTTTTGACAAAAGCTCCGTATTAAGACACTATACGTTGCTGAATCAGGTTTAACCTTTAGGTCCGACATACTCTCAAACACTTTCATTGCCTCGTCCAAATTTCCCACATTGCAATGATAGGTAATCAATGTGTTAAAAGTACATGTATCTGGAATAAATCCTCCACCTCCAAGAGTCCCCTCCAAGATCTCTTTTATTCTGTCAAATTTTTGAGCCTCACAAAGACCTTGTACAAGAGTATTATAAGTAGTACTTGTCGGTTTTAAATCAAGATCAATCATTTCCTTAAAGACATCAAGAGCATGTTCAACCTCTTGCTTCTTACAATACCCTCTAACCAAAGTGGTGTAGCTTATAACATTAGGACTCAACTGATGACCCCTCTTGACCATACCCTTTAACACATTATGCGCAATCTTCACTTTCCCTGCCCTACACAAACCGTCAACAATCGTGTTGTATGTAACAACATCCGGTTCACATTCGTGCCTCTCCATTTCCTTAAAAAACCTAAACCCTTGATCAATCATGGAATTCATACAAAACCCTCTGATCAAAATGTTAAAAGTATATAGATCAGGCTTAGTACCATATGTCTTAAGCATTTCATCAAACAAGTCATAGACCATACCAGTTCGACCCCTCTTAAGCAAAATTGAAAACAAACAGTTAAACGTAACCACAGAGGGTGAAATTCCAAGTGATTTCATCGTTTTAAACACCTTAAATGATTCTTGAAAAAGCCCAGCTTTACCGTAACTCCGGATCAAGGTGTTAAAGTGCTTATCTTGAAGGGGAACAGTACCCTTGGACCTTGTGGGTATAGAGAAAAGGAAGTTTCTTGCTGAATTTAGGTTACGGGCATTGCCAAGAAGTTGCAGCATGAGGAAATAGGATTGATGGGTGTGTGAAAAACCTAACTTTTGGGTCCAGGTGAAGAAGTGAAGGGCTTTAGAAGGTTTCTTGATGAAGCGGAGAGTGTGGAGGACAGTGGTGTGTGAGAGAGAAGGTTGAGTGAGGGAGGAAAGTGAAGATTCAAGATTAGATGACCATGTGTTTGTGTTGATGAGATTGGCCATGTTTGCTGCTGTTTTGGATTTGGAAGAAGATGATGACGATTTGGGCTTGGGAGGATTATTGAGTTGTTTACCATTTTTGGGTTTGTTGGTCTTGGTGGGATTGGTGGTTTGTTTGGAGAAAAGCTGTGAAAGAGTTGAGAGAGGGTGAGATGAAAGGTATGGGAGTAATGTGGAAGAAGTACAAATATGTTGGAAATGAGGAGCTCTGAAGATGGCGGGTTTTGCTGGTAGTAGTGACGCAAAAGGAGCAATCGCCATGAAATGAATCCTGCTTAGGCCATTTGACACTAGAGTTTGCAGGTTAATTGAACAAAGTGAGGGAAAAAATGTCTCTTCGGGGATTGGGGGTGTTCATGGTTATTCAAATATTAAAGTCAAATTAAACTAACAGCATCATTGTTTCCCATCGTTTTATAATGTATTGTATTATATTGTATCGTATTGTTTTATGAATACAATGTTTGGATAGATTGTATTATTTGATATTGTTAAATAACTTTTTGTTGTTTGGTTTGACTGTATCGTACTATACTGTAACTGATAAGTTTACTAAAATACTCTCAATTGTTTAAATATTAAATTTATCAAAAAATATGCATAAAAATAATTTTAAAAAACAAAGCAGAAGAAGGCAAAACCACCTTAAGAAAGTAGAAAAAAGGAGCGAGACGGAAGAAGGCAACACAAAGGAGCACAGCTAATTAGAATTGAGTTAAAAGCAAATTAGGAGAAAAAATAAAACAGAAGGCGGCAAAACACCTTTAACGTTGGCGGCAAAAGTTCTGGAAAAAAATAAAGTAGGTTATAGGTTGGAGATTTGGAGTTAAAATAGCAACAAAAAAAAAAAAAAAAGCTAAAGGATAAAATAGAATTGTGGAGTAATAAGTTAGGGCATAATTGGAAAGAAAAATAGGAAACAATCCCACCACACCAATCAGTTGTTTCAAAAAAGGGACTTTTCAGTGTTCCGGAACAATGGATTTAACAATACAATACAACCAATTTTAATGAAACAATCAAAACAAACATTGTTTTGGGATAATAATACAATACGATACAATGGGGAACAACCATCCAAACAAGCTGTAAGTATGCGTTGGGATATAAAAATTGTAATTTTTGAAAAAAATTAGTATTTGGAGTTAGGTTGAAAAATGGTATTTGGAATTTGAATTTATATTTGGACATGCATTTCACTTAGTAAATTGAGAAAAACGAATTGTGAAAAAGTGGTTTTCATTTTGGTTTTTGAAAACTCACTTTTGAAATATTTCTAAAAACTTGCAAAATTTCATGGACAAACACATTTTTGAATTATTTTTTTATTGAAAAAAAGAAATTTTTTACGGACAACGGGGCCTATCAAGTCAAAATTTTGATTCGGTTTTTTGGTATTTTTGCTCCATAACCAAGTCAAAGTTGATCGATTTTTAAACTTTAAAACTAAAACTACATTAAACCAAAATATTATCGGGTTTTGTATCTATTTGATTCGATTTTCGGTTTGGTTCAATTTTTTAATTTTTCGTGAACACCTAAGGACAACCGATTGAGAAAAAGAAAAGTACTCTTCACCAAAATATTGTTCTAATGGCGAGTTATGTACCACACTCATACCATTTTGGTAGGTCCTCAAGGGGGTGCGGGTTAAGGGACAAGGGGGTAAGGGTAGTAAAAAAGCCTCCACGTTGCGAGTTGGGTCTTGGAATATAGGATTTTGATGGAAAAGTCTGTAGAGTGGGGATAAGGCACGGGATGTAAATGGGTTTAAGCTTTTGTACTCTGGACGCGTGGGGCAAGAACGGGGTAAGTATTTTCGTTGATGGGGATGTTCGGTAGTTAGTGCTGGAGGTTAGGAGGGTGAACGACAGGTTGGGTTTTTTTACTCTAAACGTGATTAGTGCGTACGCTCCTCAAGTAGGCTTGGACGAGGAGGTCAAAAGGTGTTTCTGGGAGGATTTTGATAAGGTTGTGCATGTATTCCGCACACTGAGAAGCTTTCATATGAGGGGATTTCAATGGCGACATTGGGGCGACGGTTGGGGGCTACGATGACGTGCATGGCGGTTTCGTTTTCGGAGTTAGATACGGAGGTGGTATGTCCCTGCTGGATTTTGTTAAGGCTTTTGATTTGGTGTTGCTAACTCTAATTTCCGGAAGAAAGAGGAGCACTTGGTCACATTTTAGAGTTCGATGGCCGGGACCCAAATTAATTCTCTACTCTTCCGGAAGTCTGATAAAGGTCTATGCACGGACTGTAAGGTCATCCTAAGTGAAAGCCTCACGACTCAGCATAGGCTTCTAGTCATGGACTTGGAGATCATGAGGAAGCGAAGAAAGAGGGTTATATTTGATCTACCTAGGATCAAATGGGGAGACTTGACTAAAGACAGAGCACAAGAGTTGAGTGATAAGTTGTTGGCTATGGGAGCATGGAGGAGTACTGGGGACGCTAGTAGTATGTGGACCGCGACTACGAGTTGCATTAGGGAGGCTGCTAGAGAGGTTTTTAAGGGTATCGAAGGGCTCATCTAGTGGCCGTAAAAGGGATTGGTGGTGGAGTACTGAGGTTCAAGGTAAAGTGGAGGCCAAGAAAGCGGCATAGCTGAAGATACTGGAGAGCGTGGACGAGGAGGCGAGGAAGACTAATAGGGAGTGGTATAAGATGGCCAAGAAGGAAGCGAAGTTAGCAGTTGCTACACCAAGACCGTTGCGTGTGAACGCTTGTATGCAGAACTTGGAGGTAGTGCAGGGGATAAAAAGTTGTACAGGCTAGCTAAAGTGCGAGAAAGGAAGGCCCGTGACCTGGACCAAGTGAAGTGCATCAAGGACAAGGATGACAGAGGTTTGTTGGATGAGGCAATTATTCGACGTAGATGACAAACTTACTTTAATAAACTCTTGAACAAAGAAAGGGATAGGAACATTGATCTAGGCGACTTAGAACACTCCGAATATCGTTGGGACTTTGGGTATTGTGACGAGCTTGAAACACACACTTAAATATGCTCGCTAGTCGAATATAGTAAATTATAATATCGCATCCATAGGGATTGGAGTTAAACTGTTATTATCGTAGTTTGTAGCTAGATTGCTATTCAAGATGATCAACAATTGAGAATTATGTGATTTAAAACTAAAATTAACTAAGAGTCTAAACTATTGACTAATGACAAACAACACAAGTAGTAGGCAAAAGAAGATATCAATTGGGAGAAAATAGGGTTGATAGGATAGGTGCAAGACAAATGTTTGGGATTTAACTCTAAATAATTCACTTCTAATGTTCAAGTGAGTCCCTCGAACTCACTTGGTTATTAGTTCAATTGTTTAGTAGAAACTCCTCTCTCGATTAAGTCTCAACCTCACAAGATAAACCAATTTTAAGCATGTGAAGATATGCAATAATTCGTAGTGGATTGGTCTTTAGGAGAAACTGAAAACAACACGCTAGGGGATTCAAGAATTACTAAGAAAAAACAAGAAAAACAAGAACGTGCGGAAGCTAAAAAAAAAATTAAGAAACAAAAAAGGACGGAAAATTAAAGATAGATTGAATTCAAGAAAGAGTTTCTTGAATTCAAGAAGTCTATTCTTGAAGTTGAATCCTAACAACAACAATTAGCTAACAAAGAACTATTCGCCTTTGGTAGAGAATTAAAAGCAAGAGATAGATTATGAAACCCGACCCTTTAGAATAACAAGAACAACAATAAGCCTAAACTTATCACCTTTCTTGAATACCTAGAAGTGATCAAAGATTTCAAAAGAGTTTAATCTTACCACCTTAAGTTGAGTCTTGAAGGGTGAAGAATAAATCCAAGAGTAGCCACACACAAGAATGCAAGAAAAATCTCACAATTTTTATTGATAATAGTCTGAATAATCTGAATATAAAAACAAAGAAGACACCCCTTATATAGGTAGGAGGGGGTCACGAAATTAAGGCTAAAAAATAAGGAAATAAATTCCTAAACTACTTTGGACAACAAGTCCAACTAACTTAGGAAAAGAAAAATACTAGGAAACAGAAAACAAGCCATTCTTGGAAAGTAATTCCAACAATCTTAGGAAAAGGAAAACATAACCTTAACTAACTAGGAAAGCAATAAATATAGTCCCAAAATATATGGAAATAAGTCCCAAACCAATCTTGGATAGAATCTTGGAAATCTTGAAGGAAATTTGCAAGCAACTTGGCACCAACTTGCACTCAACATCTAGCACGACTATTCTACCTTTCTTGGACATCAATTAAGTCCTTTTTATGTTATAAAAATGTGACTTTACATAGGACTTCATGGGCTGCAAGTTTGGACCCATTTTAGGTGCCAAATTGGTCCAAAGGTGGACTGATTAGGACCTTCTTCAAAGGATGTCTCTTGGGATCCAATACTCCTCTTCATAGACATAAATTTGAGCCATAAAATAATTATAACACCTAGCTAATTCACAACCTTTATCCTTGAGCTCTTCTTCCTCCCAATTAGCAATTTCTTTATTTGCACTTGAAGCCTAATGACCTTGTTTTGCAACTCTTTAGCTTGACATCTTGTTAAAGGCTCTCTTTGAGATTCCAAAGCTTCATCCTTGTCCTTGAATAGAGTTGAGCTTCCTAGGATGCATCAGAACCTCTCTCAATTATTCTCTTAACTATGTTCAATCAACAATTCAACTAGCCTCTTTCGATTACTAAGAAGAATTAAAGACTTCAACCAAAAAAATATAAAGCGACAATATCACAAGTTATGCCTTTCTCGATTACATGAACTAGTGAATATAGCAGCAACGATTAAAACATCCAATACGAGTCAATACATAAAACTAGAGTTAATTATCTAAAACAAATATAAATACACCAAATACATCAAACCCTAAAGAGAACTGTTCCATAGACATGGAGTAATTCATCACAATTAAGTTTAAGTCAAAAGAAAACATAAAACATCCAAACCCTTTTCTTGAGTTGGGATTGGATGATAGATTTCTTGTGCTCTTCCTTCTCCAACTTCTCCTTAGCCTCCTTGGGTCTAAATTATGTCAAAAGTCCTCAAAATATCATTTTTCCATGTATATATACCAAGTAGGGTCGGGCCCAAATAATTACACCTTCTCCTACGCGAAAAAGGATACTTTTTCCGGACAGGACGTGCGCGGCCGCGCACCTAGAAGGGTACCCGCGCACTTTTCACACTTTCTGCCCCATATGGGCGGTTAGTGCGTGGACGCGCTTGCCGCGCACATTTCACCATGTTGTGTTCCAAATGGAGTTCTAAGCGAAAAGTTATGTGTATTGTACTAGACAAAGTGCAATATGCCTTCTTGATTCTTCGTTTCGTTG